CATTATAAATCCATATATGTTTATATAGTATATTCAATATGTTTTAATTGATTACAGACATTATTATTTTGATACTGTCCTCCTAGCCTGAGTTCCCCAAAATGTATGGTCTGAAGCAAAACTTCTGTAACATTATCTTCATAAGGAATCCAATTAAAAGGAACAGGAGTGAAGGGTGAGGGGGATAAAGCAAGAAGGAGGGAGAGCCAATATGACCATGTATTATCAAACTGGTCAGCTGTTTCCTCTGGCAGATGGAAACTCTTAAAAGCCATATAAGCCAGGCACAATGGCTCATGCCTGTAATCACAGCACTTTGGGAGAAAGAGGTGAGAGGATTGCCTGAGTCCACAGGTTCGAGATCAGCCTGTGCAAGTTGGCAAGATCGCATCTCTACAATAAATCAAAAAATTAGCCGGGCGTTGTAGTGAATGCCTGTCGTTCCAGTTATTGGAAGGCCAAGGTGGAAGGATTGCCTGAGCCCTGCAAACTGAGGCTGTGGTAGCCGTGAGCATGCCACTGCACACCAGCCTGGGTGACAGAGTGAGACTTGGACAAAAAAAAAAAAGAAAGAAAGTAAGAACGAAAGAAAAGAGACAGTTAGTCCTAGAGGATCTGGGACTGATTATATGTAAGAGGTTTCTTAAAAATTGTTCAAATTTTCCAAAATTGGCCAGTGGAAATCATTCCAAGATGGCTCCTGTGTCCTTTTGACACAGTGCTATTAATCTTTGAAATTTCCTTGCTTTCTAGTTTAACAAAATGTCCCTGTTCCAAATCTGGAGTGATCCATTTCTCCTGGAAGCTCTACTTCGTTTTAGTGAGGAATAGTATTTAGAAAAAACCTGGATACCAAGGGTACTCATTGCTACTGGGGTGTCACTGCTTATAGACTATTCAGTGGTCAAATTAGGAAACATATTTTTTAAAATCATTAGTATTGTATTGATATTTTCAATTCTAATTTATAATTACAGCATTTTAACTCTACTTCTTGGTTCTTTTTTTTTTTTTGAGTTGGAGTCTCACTGTCGCCCAGACTTCAGCCTCGACCTGCTGGGCTCTGGAGATCCTTCCGCCTCAGCCTTCCAAGTAGCTGGAACTACAGGCACGCGCTACCACACCCGGCTAATTTTTTTGATTTATTGTAGAGATGAGGTCTCGCCTGCCCAGGCGTACTTCTTGGTTCTTACAGTGTCCTTTTCTTGTACTGAAAACTCTATCCTAATATCACATTAGCATAATGATGTATTTACTTTATCTTTCAATATATCTAATAGAGAGTGAAAATAACAACACCAAAATTAGTAACAATAAAACTACCAAGTGAAATTTAAAGAACTCTTAGCATTTAACTTCTAATTTAACTTTTAATGTATTCATTAGCATATGTCACTGATGTCAAAATGTTGAATTACTTTACCTATTACCAAAATAAAATTTCTATTTTACATTGTTAATTCACAATTGAAAGAAATTTCACAAAATGACACTTTAACTTCTTTGTTACCATATAGAGACTTTAACAATATAAATGATACAGATCAACAGAGTTTTCTCAACACTTAAGAAAAGCATAGAGGAAGATCAAAAATGTAAATGATGCATATAGAACAAATTATGGTCTAATGACACAATGGCATGCTAAATAAGCAATGATTCTACTGTTATTTGAACAGAAAAGTAGCATGGTTTATCACTTATTTGTATTACCATAACAATGCAGAATTCCAAGTGAATTCCTATGCCTTAGCAGTCATACTTACAATATTGAGCCTTATAAGGCTTGGAAGCCATCTTAGCATATAATCTACTGCAAAACTTCACCAGTAATAAGTGTTGTGACTGGACACAGTGGCTCATGCCTATAATCCCAGCACTTTGGGAGGCCAAGGTGAGAGAATTGCCTGAGCTCAAGGGTTTGAGACCTGCCTGGGCAACTTGGTGAGACCTCATCTCCACAATATATCAAAAAAACTTAGGCGGGCATGGTGGTGTGTGCCTATAGTTCCAGTTACTTGGAAGGCTGAGGCAGAAGGATCATCCGAGCCCAGCAGGTCGAGGCTGCGGTGGATGTGAGCGTGCCAGTACACTCCAGTCTGGGCAACAGAGTGAGACTCCAACTCAAAAAAAAAAAAAAGTGTAACTAGCTACAGAATTTTTTAAGGCATACTATTAAATTAGTGAGTCCATTAAAACACTGATGGCTAAAAAAGAGTTTATTGTCAACAATAGTAATAACCATGGTACAAACTTGGTTTGTCATGCTCAATTTTTTTTTTTTTTTTGAGTTGGAGTCTCACTCTGCCGTCCAGGCTAGAGTGCAATGGCACACTCACGGTCACCGCAGCCTCAACCTGCTGGGCTCAGGTGATTCCTTTGCCTCAGCCTTCCAAGCAGCTATAACTGCAGGCGTGAGCTACCACGCCCATCTAACTTTTCTTGATTTATTGTAGAGATGAGGTCTCATCAAGTTGCCCAGGCTGGTCTCGAACCCCTTGGCTCAGGCAATTCTCTCGTCTCGGCCTCTCCAAGTGCTAGGATCACAGGCTTGAGCCGCCATGCCTAGTCAGGCTAATTTTTTTTGTTGTTTTTAAGTCGGAGTCTCACTCTGTCGCCCAGGCTGGAGTGCAGTGGAACACTCACGGCCATGTCAGCATCGACCTGCTGGGCTCTAGTGATCCTTCAGCCCCAGTCTTTCAAGTATTTGGAACTATAGGCTCACGCTACATCACCCAGCTAATTTTTGATTTACTGTAGAGACGAGGTCTCGCCAAGTTGCCCGGGCTGGTCTTGAACCCATAGGCTTAGGCAATCTACTTGCCTTGGCCTCCCAAAATGCTGGGATTGATTTATTGTAGAGATGAGGTCTCATCAAGTTGCCTAGGCTGGTCTCAAACACATGAGCTCAGGTAATCCTCTCACCTTGGCCTCCCAAAGTTCTGCAATTATAGGCATGAGCCACCACATCTAGCCTCAAAATTTTTAAAAAATCAAGACACGCCGGGCTTGGTGGCTCAGCCTGTAATCCCACGCCTTTGGGAGGCTGAGGTGAGTGGATTGCCTGAGCCCACGGGTTTGAGACCCACCTGGGCAGCGAGACTTCATCTCTACAATAAATCAAAAAAAAAATCAGCCAGGTGTGGTAGCGCATGCCTGTAATTCCGGCTACTTGGAAGGCTGAGGCGGAAGGATCGCCGGAGCCCAGCAGGTCGAGGCTGCGGTGGCCGGGAGGGGCCACTGCACTCCAGTCTGGGCAACAGAGTGAGACTCCAACTCAAAAAATAAATAAATAAAATCAAGACACACGCAAAACATTAAATGTGTGCATACATATTTCTAAGATTAAATGCTATATCTGGGCCGGTTTCGGTGGCTCAGCCTGTAATCCCAGCACTTTGGGAGGCCAAGGTGAGAGGACTGCCTGAGTCCATGGATTCGAGACCAACCCAGGCAGCTCGGCAACACTTCATCTCTACAATAAATAAAAAATCAGCAAGGTGAGATAGCATGTGCCTGTAGTTCCAGCTACTTGGAAGTCTGAGGCGGAAGGATCGCCAAAGCCCAGCAGGTTGACGCTGGGGTGGCTATGGGTGTGCCACTGCACTCCAGCCTGCATGACAGAGTGAGACTCCAACTCAAAAAAAAAAAAAAAAATGCTACATCTGCAATGTTGTTGCTATCTGTTGGATTAAATAATGTTAATTTTACTTTAATGGTTTTAGAGTTGTTTATATTTAATTAGTAAATTTGTTTTTATTTAAATGTATAAAAGCTGTAAGAAAACATGTGTTAACTAAAACTCTTTGGAATGCAAGTGATAGACCCAATGCAAAGAAGTTTAGCAAAACAGAATTTAAGAATCATGTAACTGGCCATTGCTTTTGTTAACTTCTGTTCAGACCATGTGTTCACTGACCTATGGCCGGGCCATATTTCCCTAAGCTTTGGCCCCCTCTCCTACCTTGGAGAGGTGAATCCTTTCTCTTCCTCTCTTTCTAATTTACTTTCTACATAAACTATATTTTCCAATCTAAAAAACAAGAATCATGTAACGAAAAATGTTAGGTCCAGAGCAGTGGTTCTCAGCTAGAAGAGATCTTGCTTCTCATTCTCTGCAGGAGATATTTGATAATGACTGGAGACTTTTTTTGTTTGTCACTACTGGGAGGTTACTACTGACATCTAATGGGAAGAGATTAAGGTTGATGCTATACATCCTACAATCAGAGAACATTCCACCCTAACAAAGAATTATCCAGCTAAAAATGTCAACAATATCAAGGCTAAGAAACCCTGGATTAAAGCTAACTTTAACTGAGTTTAAACAACATCACTGGAGATACTTCTTCTTCTGCATTGCCTTCTCCTGTGTTTAATTCAAAACTGAGCCCCCGTCACTTGGTGGCGAAGAGGGTTCCTGACAGATTTCATGACCTTGGCCTCATGATCTCAAAAGGAGAGAAGCCCTTGGGCCTGTCTCTTAATGGCCGCATCAATCTCAGAAAAATATGTGGTCCTGCACGGCTCAAGTACCAATTATGAACTAACACAAACCATAAGAAAGGGATGCTTTTATTGACTAGCTTGGCTGCTGAGTATACATGAGTACTAAGTGATTGATAATTCTATGAGATAGGAGAAAGGTACAGTGAGAGGCTCACAAGATGTGGCCCTAGAAACTGGCTATGGAAAAGCAACTTCAAGTTTTTTATCAAGCATACTTCGAAGCATTACAATGAAATGCTGGGTGAGATTATCTGCACTAGGATTTAACTGCAGAGTGTATAGTGGGATTCACTTAGTCACCTTTGTGTATTATATAATTCCCCCCTCCACAATCCAATCTGGTTGCTCAGCATCCACACCTACCCTCCTCCCACATCTACATTTTCAAGAATGGTCCTGTCTAGCATTAGGCAAGTTTTCCAAATAAGACTAACCGTGCTCACCCTTGCTCAAACGTGTTTACCTATGCGTCCAGCTCTAAGATCTCTTGGCTATATGCTCTTAATCAGGTTAGAAGTAGCATCTTCTTCTAGTTGTTCCTCAGTCCTTAAGGACTCAGCTCCATACATGGGCTTTGGTAGAGGTCGTGGGGCAGCACCCGCAGGTCTAAATTGGGGTAGGGGTGTTGGGTCCTTGCCGGCTTCACAAGACTGATTCCTGACTACCTTGCTGTGAATGGCAGAACTCACACAGTAATGCAACTTCACATACAACTTGGGAAACACAGAGACATTGAAGACACTTGCTTCAGAAATGTCCCTGACAGCTGCGGCCTCCACTATGTTTCGAATGACAAATTTCTTAATAGCCTTATTCTTGGGCATGCATCAGGTGTAGTTCCTGCAGTGAATGGGCTGCATGTAGCCACGACCCTTTCTGGCATGACCATTGCTCCTTCTTTTCTTTATCATCTTGGAAACGAGGACCTGAAAGTGAAGTAGCTTCTTAAGGACTATTATTGTTCAGTTATTAACTTGCCCCCGACACACACATCTAATAAATGAGGCAAAAAGGGATACCTGCAATAAATATTTCCACATGAAAAAAGGGGAGGTGAAGAAACTTCGATCCATGGTATTTTGCTAGACAGGAAGAGACAGCTTCCCTGCTAGCAAAGGGAAATGAGATGAGTTTCTTAATTACCAGACTGGTTGCTTCTGGTTCTAATCTCTGGGAGACTCTCCTCGATCAATTGTCCCGCAGAGTCACATTTGAGAAGGCACTGTGGATGATGCTTCCTGGCTGAGAGCTTTCCTGCAGAAGAATTCCACTTGTTTTGGGGTCAGTTTCAGGAGACTGGAAGTTGTCAAGGGATGGGATAACAGACACCTTTATTTCTCAGGGTGCAATTTCTTTGAAAATACAACTGTTTTGGGTTCTTGACTGGCTTTTAATCATTTTGCCTTTCGTCTTCTACTAATCAAAGACAGAAGTTGTTGAATCTGGACCTGTTGTAGTGATTGTTGTTTCTAATAGGCCCCAGGTTAACTGCTTTCATCTTGGCCTCTTCTGCCAAACAAATGGGGCAAATAGGCTGCATCACAGCAGACTGCTGTTTATTCTGGGGTTGACTGTTATCTTCGTCTGACAGGGAGGAAGTCTTGCAGGAACTGCCTGGGTGTTTAGGCTTCTCCTAGGTTTAAGCATATCTTTCTTACACTTTCTGCCTCCCTGCTTTTGCTCATACTAATTTAGCTCAGGGCTATGAGTGCATCAGAGAGACAAATAGGCACAAACAATGCTTAGGAGGTTCTTAAGCACTCAGACTTAGTATATACCCTTTTAGTTACTCTTTTCCATATAAGCTCATTCTTTGTCTTCTATTCAAAATCCTGCAACTTAAATTCTACCCACGTTGAATTCTGCAAAACCACATCTTGCCCCACTTTTGATTATAATTCATCTCATTTACCTGTAACTTTGCTAACTTACAACATCATTATCATGAGAAGAGTGACTTAAAATCTGGCAACTGGAGGTGATCTCTAGAGTCTTAAATAAGACTTCCATTCCCTATTATCGGACTTTGCTCATATCTGTGAATCACTCGGCATTTTTAATTGTAAGAAGGCAGACATTTTACAATCTATCTTCCTTATCTTGCCTGTATCTTTTATAAAACCTCTAGTCAAGTATATTCATGTATTTATCACTTAAAATATAAACTCACTAGGTGTGACGGCTCATGTCTGTAATCCCAGCACTTTGGGAGGTGAAGGCAAAAGGATTGCCTGAGTTCAGGGGTTCAAGACCAGTCTGGGCAACTTGGCAAGACCTCATCTCTACAATAAATCAAAAAATCAGCCAGGAATGGTGGTGCATGCCTGTGGTTCCAGCTACTTGGAAGACTGAGCTACTTGGAAGACTGAGGCAGCAGTGGTGGTCATGAGCATGCCACTGCACTCCAGCCTGGGCAACAAAGTGAGACTCCAGCTCAAAAATAAATAAACCCGACTAATCAATTCTAGTCTTTGCTTCACTTCCCATTGTATATATCCTTCTGTATTTAACCCCCAATAGAAAGTGTCTACACTTTCCCCATTCTTCTGATCAATAACCATATAGTTATCCAAACAGATAATAAAGCTTATTTTTGTGGATGTTTTATTTTTACCTCTAAGAGAGCAATAAAACAAGAACTCCAGTACTTGGTCAGAGTGTAAATTAGTAAATTTTTTCTGCAGGAATAGTGACAATAAGTTGTAAAACTTTAAAATATACCTTTTTAGGGTTATCTGAAATCAACTGGAAAGTTGTAATGCCCAAAGTGGATGGGTGTGACTCATAAATACATAGTATGAGTAGATAGCTAGTAGAGGTATGAGGGGTGTGTGTGTGTGTGTGTGTGTGTGTGTGTGTGTGTGTGTGTGTGTATGCATATTCCTATGTGGCTCGGTTCAGCTAGACAGCTGGACAAATTTGTATGTTCAAAACCAGTATTACGGCAAAAATGACTATTGCTTTTACCATCATAAAACATATGCGTATCTGTTAGAGCAGTGGTCCACAATCTTTTTGGCTTCAGGGACCAGTTTCATAGAAGACAAATTTTCCACAGACAGAGGGGTGGGGGATGGTTTGGGGATGACTGAAGTGCATTGCTACTTATTGTGCACTTTATTTCTATTATTACTCTCTATTGTAGTATATAAAGAAATAAGTATACAACTCATCATAAGGTAGAATCAACGAGAGCCCTGAGCTTGTTTTCCTGCAAGTAGATGGTCTCCTCTGGGTGTGGTGGGGGACAGTGACACCCAAAGTATGTTGCTTATGTCCAGTCTACTCCGTAAACTCGTTTTGGTTGTTGTCACTGCAGAAAACCCTGCTTCACAAAGATAGTATGTTGGAAATGGAAGCAGGGTTTTCAGTGCTGATCTGACAGGAGGCGGAGCTCAGGCAGTAACATGAGTGATGGGGAGCGGCTGTAAATACAAATGAAGCTTCATTCACCTGCCCACTGCTCACCTCCTGCTGTGTGGCCCAGTTCCTAACAGGCCATGTACTGGTACCCATCTGTAGCCTGTAAGTATCATGAACCTATTATTGTAATTTTGGTAATATGGGCAACCATATGCCTTTTTATCTTTCAAGCAGTACTATATTTACCCCATCTATTCCCACTATCTTTTTACTTACTTCTCATTTGTGCTTTTGTTTCTGTATTTTTCTCTACTCATAAGACAAGGGTATCACTACAAAATATCATAGCTACACCTTCAGGTAGCCCAGAAATAGCATTTGACTTATTTTTCAGTAGACTTGTGCCAAGAAGAGAGTCCCAAAGCAAAGAACCTGTTTTCTGTCTTCTCTCCTAGAAGCTTGTCACACTGCCCAAGTTCCTCCTCATCATTTCCATTTCAGACAGAAGTAACCATGTGGCCCTGGAATTTTCTTAAAGGTATTCAAACTCCTTTCATAAGAGCAGAATATAAAATAAATGCTTTAGGAGAAATGCATTAGAAGCATCCCAGGTGCACAGAAATGGAGGTTAATTGACAGCATGAAATCCATATTTCCAATTGCCTATCAGTTGGTAATCCTAAACCAAATTTAGAATTATTTAAAAGGTCTTATAGTTAATCTCAACAAGATAACAAAGCTTGATTATTCTGGTTTCTCTCTTAGACTACTCTGCTCCCTACCTCCTGCTTTTTTTTAGGAAGGAAGAAGCCAAATAACACAAATTAGGTAACATCGTATTTCCACTGGCTGTATCTCCAAAATGCTATAGCAGTCTCTGAAAGCTGAAAAGTCATTCTTTTTCTCACTTTCCAGTACCACTCTGGTCTCTGCTGCTACTGGGCTGCAGCATCAGCTGCAATACTTAGCCCCCAGTGATGAGATGTACTAGGCCAGTCCAAGACTGACTTGACTGCCTTGTCTCCCTAATGCCAAGATAGTATATATCTATGTCCTTATAACAACAAATAGATATTGACATCTATTTATATATTTATATAAATACAGACAGACCCAGATTTAAATGAAAACTATTGTGCATAAGCAATGTATCTTTAAATCGGAGTTAACAATATATACTTTCAGGACCAGTTGTGAGGATCAAGTGAAATAATATATCTACTGCTTGGCACTTAGTAAGTGCTAAACTAATTGACATCACCCCACTCATAAAATAAAAAAATGTCAGTTCACTTGTGGTTGCCCTGTCACTATGTTGGAATGAAGCAGATCCATGGAGGAGTCACAGCAGGGTGTAATCATCTTCATTTATTATAAACTTAGTAGTAACAAAGCACTATACTAGGTGCTAGAGAGAAACATACCTCCACACATTACTAACTATGTGTTTAAGAACTTTTGAATTTGTACTATGTACCAACAAGGCCAAAGCAATTCCATTAAAAGAAGTGTTACTCACCATGGATGCAGCATTAAAAAAATAAAAATAAAAAAGTATAGCTTGGGATACAAATACTCTAGATTTTAGTTTAGCTTCACCATCTGCTTGTCATATTCCCTTAAAGAAGTGAGTTAACCTCTCTAAGCTTTGGTCTCAGCTGGGCATGGTGGCTCACGCCTGTAATCCCAGCACTTTGGGAGGCAGAGGCAAGAGGATTGTTTGAGCCTATGGATTCAAAATCAGCCTAGGCAACTTAACGAGACTCATCTCTACAATAAGTCAAGAAAAGTTAGCCAGGCATGTGGCACACACCTGTAGTTCCAGCTACTTGGATGGCTGAGGAGAAAGGTTAGCCTGAGCCCAGCAGGTCGAGGCTGTGGTGGCCATGAGCGTGCCACTGCACTCTAGCCTGGACAACAGAGTGAGACTCTGACCCCACCTCCCAAAAAAGGTTTGGTCTCCATACATTCCAAAGGAAATACTTCCTCTATCCCTTATAGGATTATGGAAAGTTTACACACACACACACACACACACACACACACACACACACACACACACACACACAAATAACTAGATGCATTAGTAAACTAGAAAATAACTCAAATGGGTTTAAATAAATTTATAATTTTTTTATCACCTAACCCTCAAGTCAAACTACAAAAACTTCCAGAAGACACTATCAGATTCACCATAAAAGAGCCGAAAGAGCAAGGTCAAAAAATACATTCACTTCATATCAGATAATTCTAACCAAAAGGCAGAGTTGAGGTGAGGACAAAGGAAATGAGACTGCTATCCATTTGATCTATACCAAAAATTGTAGATAATCTCAGAGGTTCTAGAAGTGACCCTGGGGTTCCATAATAATAAATTATCAAGGAAATGCTCTGTACAACAAAGCTTCGTTTTACACTTGATTAGTTATATCTTTTATTTCAACAAACAGTTGTTGGATAATTTTTATGTGACACAAAATAGTTTTCTTTTTTTTTTTTTAATTGGAGTCTCACTCTGTTGTCCAGGTTGGAGTGCAGTGGCACACTC